AGTCTAAAAAAGAATAACACATTTCTATATTTAGTAACAGTTCAATTTTAAAATGTCAATTTTACTCTTAATGAAATGATTTATTGCCACACAAACATCTACCACTCATTTTAGACCTTAAGTTCTAAAAGTCTTTCTATCTTTCTTAAACTCTGTGTCAAATCAAACTACATCATATAAAATGGGACGGAGGGAGTATTTAATATGGATTTCTTATATTACTAATAGAAGGATAATTTATTTTTAATGAGTTTTTATATTGTAGTGTTGCCTCTTAGCGTGTAATATTTTATTAAGGATGTCATTTTGTCCTCGTGAATCAGCTGAAAGTGCTCCGTTGAAGAAAATTAAAATCTGTTACGAATAACATTCACAGGTAGCATGGAGTAACTCTCTCCTATCACACTATACGGAGTAAAAGTGGTAGAAGAAGCTGTTTGAAGTAGAAAAGTAGATTATCCTTCGAAAACATTATTTTACAGAGGCTTATCAAAGAAGAAAATAGAAGAAAAACATATATGTTTAACCAAGGTTGGAGGTTATATTCTCAAGGTTGTATAAGAAAACAGTAGAGATATTTATAAACAAGTGTGTTAATGGAGTAATTTAGTAATTGGTAGTTCCGATAGTGCATGTTCCAAATATCATGTTCTTTAACATTTTTAGTTGGGCCAGGGTCACCCCTTTAATCAGTCTAGACTCCTTCATGGGTTTTATCAGCTCCTTAGTTCTTTGATAGTTGTTTTGTCTCTTTTTGAGCTGATATTTCCATCTTTTGTAATCTGTGCATCTTCTTGATGCTTTTGTCAATGTTATCTCTCTTACTTCATAAAAAAAAAGTCATGTTCTTTAACAAGGCTTTAATCTAATCTCAGACAACTGACCAAAGAAGTGATTGTAGCATGTGTAAGATTTGTGGGTCTTCAATTATTTAATGTCATAATCACACTCATCAATTATGTTGATCATGTTTCCTATGTTACTATTTCCATTTAACAGCTTTAAATTATATTTATAGACATTTAACATTTGCAATCCTGATATGATTTCATATTGCAATTCTTAACCACATCAAACATCTTTTATTCTATCTTGCTTTGGTAAGACACTAAATCTGTTCATTCATGTTACCGCTGTAGTGGCCTCCTTTAGTGGAAGTCGTGGACTCTTGGGAGTTGCCTTCTGTATTGATTGAGAGATATAATGCATCCAGTGGAGAAGGAACTGCATTATGTGGAGTATTTCCTGAAATTCGCAGAGCTTGGGCATCAGTGGACAACACATTGTTTCTTTGGCGGTTCGATAAGTGGTGAGTATAAACAAAATTTGACAAAGTCATTAGTACTTCATTAATATCACACCAGCTCGGGATTTTCTATATCCCATCAGCAATAGTCCAGGCATGTGTTAACTATTATTCTTTAGTGTCACACCAACGTGTGCAAAAAATGTGCACAAAGCTTGTGAGTAACTCAACCACAACCATCTACTTAACTATGCTGCAAATATCAAAAAAAAAAATTGCATTTCCGAGGTGTTATCTTAGTTAGTGAATGTGTACATGCTAAACAATTTTGAGTTCCATTGTCTATGAGTTTTGACCTTGTCTTTCAAGTTCAATTATTAAGTATTGATCTTTGAGCATTGATAGATCTTTTACCAGAAATATGGTATATCCTTTGTGGAATCAATTATCAAATACTTTTATGTGCTAACCTCCAAGCCCCAAATTATTTGTTGTCGAATCTTAGGCCATTTCTATAATTTATCTTTCAAGTTCGCCTTTTTAGTCATCCACACTCAAGCTTCTGTTTGTATCAAGTGAGATCTTTTAGATTTGTTCAGAAAGTTCAGTTATGCATGGAATGAGCTACATATTGAGAATTTCAGAATGGTTTATTTTTTTGTGGTAATAAAGTTCAAGACATTTTGAAGTTTATTGTTCATATGGTCCATGATGTGTGGGATCTTCTTTTATTTAGTTATTAATGTCCTTTTCTAGGATGTACTTCCTAACAACATTCCTTTTATGGTGCTGTTTTCACCAAGAAAATCCTTACTTTGCCTATCAAAAAGTTACAAAATAAAAACTAAAGCTTTAGGTTTTTACTGGTTTGTTCATTATATTTTGTTTTGTGGATTCTTATTCTGCTGATGGTATCATGTTTTGTTTAGGGATGGTCACTGTCCTGAATATAGTGGAGATGAACAAGCTATATGCGTTGTTGGCCTAGCCAAAGTCAAACCTGGAATTTTCGTGGAGGCCATCCAGTATCTTCTGATCTTGGCAACTCCTGCTGAGGTACTATATCTTCATGAATGTTCAACTTTATTTATCCAAGTTATGTGATAGGCATTTGTCATGACTCAATTTAACTAAGCTGTGATGACACCTAACCCAACCCGTCAGGCGAACCACTTCATACAAATAAATATGATACAAAAACAACATATTGTGATAAAGTCTAACAAAATATTAATGAGGCAATACCAAGTCTACAACGCGGTAATAGTCAATTCAACCCCCAGTAATTGGTGTCACAAGTCATGAACTACTAGAAATAGGAAATACGACTTTGTTATAAAACAGAAATAAAAGACCCTAAGCTACCATGAACTAGCTGGCAGTTGATAAGGAATGCCGATAGAACTCCCAATTTACCAGATGCCTAGTCTTACTTTTTTCTGGTCTAAATCAGCTAATGTATCTTGCACTGAACAATTTTTGGAGTTTATTGGTTCCCTTGTCTTAGATTGACTAACTGTAAAGGAACTTCCCTTTTTCTTTATCCCAGTTTCTTTCGTCAATTTTTCTTTCATTGTAAGTTGAAACTATGCATCTTCTTGATGCCCTTTTGGAGTGAAATACCTTACTTTATCAAAAAAAAAGAAAAAGATACGGTACCCTCATATACATTGTATATATAAAACAATATCAATTTGGAAAATACCCTCATTGAGGTCAAAGTCTTAACATACCTCAATCCAAGTAAAGCTTTGACCTTCAAAAATAGTCTTTGCACGTTTCAAGTCTATTAAATGAATCCAATCTATGCAAAAGATTAATTAATGATGTCAGACAAGGCTATTGGACTTAATTCCTTAAGTGAGTTCTCGGTTAAAGCCAAAGTCAACCAAAAACTTACTCCTTAGTCAACTCAGTCAAACTGGAAAATAAATTCATAATTAGCTGAGGATTTCAAATTGTATGCATTCTCACTTCAAGTTCATTTGCATGCCTAAATCTTCAGTTTGTGCTTTTAGGGTTTATGTCTCAAATCCCCAATTTTACCCATCTAATTCCATGTTTAGATGTTAAATCTAGAGAAAATTGATGATTTAAACTAAAATAAATGGCACTCAAGGGTGTGGCCTAGTGGTCAATGAAGGGGTTGAGATTCAAGGTAATTTGTTTGTTGTTTTTGTCTTCAATCATATCTGTCGGCTTACCGCACCATATTGCCTATAGATCTGGATATATTGGATCTCTTACATGGAATAGTGGAGATATTGTTTAAGTTACCAGTATCTGGTGTAGAATGACCCTGTACATCTAAACCATAGCCTCCAGTTTTTAGTTAATTTTTTGTGCACCCATAAGATCTCTATTAGTATAGAAGTTTTTTTTGTTTTTTGAAGAACCATATTTTTTGTGTAGGTTCCCCGCGTTTCTGTATACCTTTTGTATCAGAGACTTTCTCCACATCAATGAAATTATTACTTTATCAAAAACAGTATCAGAATACGAATGGATTTGTGATGTAAGCATTAGTTTGCTTTATTACCAGTGAAATTTAGATGTCTGTTTTTAGTCCATGTTTCCTCTCTCATCTATAACAATATAAATTTGTTCTTCCTTTGGTCCTCTCATTTACCTCTAGCTCTATTGCACTTAGTTGATCCTTGTAGGTGTATGTTGTTCTGCAAGCAGTGACGGAACTGATCCATATGCTGAGGTGTCACTTCAGCCATTACCAGATTATACAATTCCATCTGATGGAGTGACCATGACATGTATCAGTTCCACAGACAGAGGTCACATTTTCCTTGCAGGCCGTGATGGCCACATTTATGAATTGCAGTACTCAACTGGTTCGGGGTGGCAGAAGCGATGCCGCAAGCTCTGTCTAACTGCAGGTCTTGGAAGTGTCATATCAAGGTATTCCCTTTCTCTTTGGTAGTGGGGGTTGTTTCAGTAGTCTACATGAAACTATATTTTACTGCCCTTTCTTTGGTCTTGCAATTTGCATAGTCATCAATGGTTTTCCAGAGTCTTATAACATCAAGGTTCTCAACTGTGCGTGCCTTGTTAGAACTATGAAGTGAAGGGCCTGAGTGTAGAGTGAGGTGTAAGAATAATAGCTGTTTTATTTCCTGCAGGTGGGTGGTGCCAAATGTTTTCAAGTTTGGAGCCGTAGACCCCATTGTTGAAATGGTCATTGATAATGAGAGACACATCTTATATGCACGTACCGAAGAGATGAAAATTCTAATGTTTTCTCTTGGAGAAAATGGGGATGGGCCCCTTAAAAAAGTAGCAGAAGAAAGAAATTTGATAAATCAGAGGGATTCTTATGGTGGTAGGCAACCAGCTGGTTCAAGGGCTCCTAGATCAGCCAAAACAACCATTGTTTCCATCTCACCGTTATCCGTCTTAGAATCAAAATGGCTACACCTTGTTGCTGTGCTATCAGATGGCAGAAGGATGTATCTTTCCACGTCTTCTTCTGGAGGAAACAATAGTACTGCTGGAAGTTTCGGTGGTCTTAACCATCAAAAGCCAAACTGCTTAAAAGTTGTAACAACTAGGCCAGCTCCTCCTCTAGGGGCAGGTAGTGGGCTTCCATTTGGAGCTGTATCTCTTGCTAGTAGATCACAGAGTGAAGATCTGTCACTGAAGATAGAATCAGCCTATTATTCTGCTGGGACTCTTGTCCTTTCTGATTCATCTCCATCAACTGTTTCTTCTCTTCTTATTGTAAATCGGGATTCAAGTTCTCAATCTTCTTCAAGTAGCTTGGGAGCAGGTGCTAGGAGTTCCCGCCCACTCCGTGAATTGGTGTCATCCCTGCCCATTGAAGGAAGGATGCTTTTCGTGGCAGATATTCTACCCCTACCAGATACAGCAGCCGCGGTGCAGTCACTTTATTTACAGCTGGAGTTCGGCTATGATAACTCAGGGGAATCCTGTGAAAGAACTTCGGGTAAACTTTGGGCTAGAGGTGATCTTTCAACCCAACATATATTACCAAGAAGGAGAATCGTCATATTCAGCACTATGGGTATGATGGAAGTAGTTTTTAACAGACCAGTCGATGTACTCAGGAGACTATTGGAATCCAATTCACCTAGGTCATTATTAGAGGATTTCTTCAGTCGTTTTGGATCTGGAGAGTCTGCTGCCATGTGTTTAATGCTTGCTGCGAGGATAATCTATACCGAGACCTTAGTAAGTAATGTTGCTGCTGAGAGGGCAGCTGAAGCATATGAGGATCCAAGACTTGTTGGAGTACCACAGCTAGAAGGTAGTGGTGCATTTTCAAATACTAGAGCTCCAGCTGGAGGATTTAGCATGGGCCAGGTTGTGCAGGAAGCTGAGCCTGTTTTCTCCGGTGCTCATGAAGGTCTTTGCTTATGCTCATCAAGGTTACTTCTACCTTTGTGGGAGCTTCCTGTTTTCATCACGAAAGGAAGCATAACTTCTTCAGACACATTTGACAATGTAGTAATTGTCTGCCGACTTCCTGGTGAGACGATGCAAATCCTGGAAGACAAGATGCGTTCTTTAGAGAAGTTCCTGAGATCTAGGAGGAATCAGAGAAGGGGACTTTATGGTTGTGTTGCTGGCCTAGGTGACTTGACAGGCTCAATTTTGATTGGAACTGGCTCGGATATGGGGGCTGGTGACAGAAGTATGGTAAGAAATCTATTTGGATCTTATGCTCGCAATGTTGAGTCCAATGAAGGTGGATCTTCAAACAAAAGGCAACGACTTCCTTATAGTTCTGCAGAGCTTGCTGCCATGGAGGTAAATGTTTTAAAGAATTGGTTTTCTTTTATCCCAAGGCATAACTTACTTGCAAAGCCAATCGGAATGTTTACAGGTTAGAGCAATGGAGTGTATCAGGCAATTGCTCCTTAGATGTGGCGAAGCCCTATTTTTGCTGCAACTTCTTACACAACATCATGTGACACGGTTGATTCAGAATTTTGAAGCTAATATCAAGCAGGCCCTAGTTCAGTTGACATTCCATCAACTAGTTTGTTCAGAAGAGGGAGATAGACTTGCTACGAGACTTGTATCTGCCCTCATGGAGGTACTTTAACATGCACGATAAAATTATTTTTGAATGCGGGTGATTTCCACTTGGTATTAAGTAGTTAATTCTTGCTTGCAAAGGGAACAATTGTAAGATTTCCATATTAGTATGTTTATTGCTTGCACCAAATGCATATTTTATCAAGTACGGTTTTTCTGCTTCTCCAGCATTACACTGGTCCGGATGGCAGGGGAACTGTTGACGACATAAGTGGTAGACTACGAGAGGGTTGCCCAAGTTATTACAAAGAATCTGATTACAAGTTCTACTTAGCAGTTGAATCTCTTGATAGAGCTGCTTCTACATTAGATGCAGAGGAGAGAGAAAACCTTGCGAGAGAGGCATTCAACTACCTAAGCAAAGTTCCAGAGTCTGCAGATCTGCGGACTGTATGTAAACGTTTTGAAGATCTGAGGTTGGTTCATTTAGATCCATCTTCTCCTTCATCTTAGATTCAGTTTTTTTGTTCATTACCTAGATTCGTGGTGTCTCATGCTTAGCATGCTGCTATAATATTGCAGATTTTATGAAGCTGTGGTCCTATTACCTCTGCAAAAGGCACAAGCTCTTGACCCTGCTGGCGATGCTTTTAATGAGCAAATAGATGCTGGAATTCGAGATCTTGCACTTGCTCAACGTGAGCAGTGCTATGAGATTATTTTCAGCGCCTTGCATTCTTTAAAAGGTGAAGCTTCAAAGAGGGAATTTGGATCTCCTATCAGACCTATTGCTCAATCTACTCTTGATCAAACTTCTCGGAAAAAGTTTATACGCCAGATTGTCCAACTTGGTGTGCAATCTTCAGACAGAATTTTTCATCTGAAGCTGTATCAAACCTTAATTGATTTGGGCCTGGAAGATGAACTACTGGAATATGGTGGCCCCGATTTGGTACCTTTTCTGCAAAATTCTGGTCGTGAACCTACAAATGAGGTTTGTCTATTGTGATTTCCATTTTTATACTGCTTATGTTTCTCGTGTGTGATACTCGGCATTGATAGTTATCTAGTTCTTCATCATATTATTAGCATCCAGTTTATCTTGCATAATGTTTTGGTGTTTTTGGGGGATCAATTTCCTGAGCCATCAGTTCTTTCATTTTCTTCACAGGTTCATGTTGTCTCTGCAGTGGCATCACCAACTTCACCATTGGCTCATGCTAGATTACCTGCACCATCCAACCAAGCAAAATATTTTGAGCTTTTGGCTCGCTATTATGTTTTGAAGAGACAGCACGTTCTTGCAGCCCATGTTTTGGTGAGGCTGGCAGAAAGGCGCTCCACTGATGCAGGGGATGCTCCTACTTTAGAACAAAGGTTCTTATCCCAACTGACCTAATAAATATTTACGCCTATTTTTCAGGATTGAGCATAATTGGTGTGATTTTTTGTTTATTCATTCACAATCTTGCTTGAATGTTTCATTTATACCTTTATGATAGAAATTTGGGGGAGATGTACCTTTAAACTAGAGTTGATGAATTTGTATTGCAAACTATGTAGATTATTTTTTTTCTTTCACTAAATTTACAATTAAGGTAGTTTGACTAAAGCATATTTGTCACAAACCACTAGTTCTTATCTTATTTAGTACTCCATCTATCCATAATTTTATTTTATTTTGAAACTGGTATAGTGCTCCATCTATCCATTAATTATTTGTTGCATTTGACTGGGCGAGTTTGAGATGTTTAAGTTGGTGTTCCAAATTTTGTACTACTGTACCCTTATAACCTGTGTTGTAAGTTCAAGCATTTGCAATTCTGAGATCTGAACGTAATATTCACATTCATTTTAACATTTGATGAGGGCCCTAAGAATGTCTTGATTTTTCTACCATGGCAGTTCCCTGTTCTCGCAAATGCAAAATTTTAGAGGAAAGATAAAACAACTGCTCATTAAGTTAATAGCTTTCTCATAAATTTAGGTGCTGTTACTGCTTTGTGACAAAGTATTTTTAGATTTATTGAGAGTGGGAGCACTACTAATTTTTTCAAACATAGATATATAGAAAGAGGGAAAGTAGTTGCCTATTCCCTTTGGTCTGGTTCAGAAACCCCGACTTGCTGTTCCTCTAAGAGGGATTCTTAATTTGTCATTGTTTAGCTGTTTATGTTACTCAGAACAGATCTCATTTTGTTTTCTTCTGTCCCATTTTATATCACTCTATTTGATTGTGCGTTTCTTGATAGTAGTGGAATAAAATATATAGTTGTTGAAAAGTTTGATAAATAAAATATCACAGTAGAGTTTGATAGAAAGTCTAAATATGTTAGTAAAATGTAATTAAATTCTTGAAACTTAGGAAAGCTATTGAGATGAGCTTAAACAGAGCAACATGGTTAGTGAGGATTCATATAGCCGACTCCTACGTGCTTGGGATTGGGGCATAGTTGTTGTGGAAGACTTAAAAGTTGTATGAAATCATATTGTTAGTGAAGTGGTACCAAACACTTTTGGATGTATTGTAGATAGAAAGAATGATATACATATTTGAATGGAGGAAATACTTTATTTGTTGTGAGACCAGTGTTTGCTGTCTAATTTGGGTAATGGCAGGCGGCAATACTTGAGTAATGCTGTTTTGCAAGCAAAGAGTGCCCATGATAGCGATGGTATGAGTGGTTCTGCCCGGGGTGCTCTTGACAATGGGCTGCTTGATTTGCTCGAAGGAAAGCTTGCTGTTCTTCAGTTTCAAATTAAAATTAAAGATGAACTGGAGGCTATGTCTTCCAGGTTAGAGTCATCTACAAGCACATCTGAATCTGGTTCTGGTGAAACATCACCCAATATGAGTAATATTCTTCGAGAAAAAGCCAAGGAGTTATCGATGGAATTGAAGAGCATTACACAGTTGTATAATGACTATGCTGTTCCTTTTGAGATATGGGAGGTATGAAACAATCAACACACATTTGTCACCATGTGCTCTACTTTATTTATTTGTTTATTTTTGCTCTACTTTATGCATGATCTTTTTTGTTTTCTTAAATTAAACCCGTTTGGCCATGAAAATTTCACTTTTTTCCAGAAAATTATTTCACTTTATTCAACCTACTTCAAAATTTTCAAATAAAGTGAATTTGAATTTTTTGGTTTTCATGGTCAAATGGCCAAGAATAAGCTGTACTTTTTTTTTCCTTTTTCTTTTTTTCATGAACGCTCTGGTAGATAACTCTAGATCGTGAAGAGGTCTATTCTTCATCGGAGAATTTTAAGAAGTGATTTTAATCACGAATTGCATAACAAGTGAGACCATAGAGGTGACTTCTGGATTATAAACTAATAAGAGCAATAGAATATGTCACTGCTGTTATATTTAACTTTTCAATACCAAATTCCCTGTTTATAAGAGTCACTATGCAACTATATGGGCTTCTTCGATTTAAAAATAAAATTAAAAAGAAGAGCAACTACATGGGGTTTCTGTGCAGCAGTGCCAGAGGGCAGCTCAAAGCTTATATCTAAACATCACACTTTGTAAATAGGTGACATTTCAGCTTGTGAATGCTTCCCAAAGTTCTTCAGCAATTTCCACTTATCCCCTCCTTTTCCTTCACTCTTTTTCATGCCAAGGATTTGTCAATGCCATTCTTATTTACATCCTATCTGTAAAGAAATGGATATTGCGCCTAACTTAACCCCAAAGGCTAGCTCATGAGATGAGTATTGCTGACGACTATATAAGGAGGCAAATAACCCCATTTCACATCGATGTGGGGCTCTAACACCCCCTAGTATGCTTAGCACTGGACATCTGGAGCGTGGACAATATAATAATGGGACCCAACATTGGGTAACCCAGGAATTAGGATGGGTCTATTCTGATGCCACGTAAAAGAAGTGGATCTTGAGCCCAACTCAGCACTAAAGTTACCTCATGAGGTGAGGGTTGCCTGACCATATAAGGAGGCAAACACCCCTATCCTACACCAATGTGTGATTTTAACACCATCTTTCATACACCATTGGCAGTGATCGGCTAGGGCATATTGCTTAATGTGCAAAAATATCTCTATAATTTGAATATAGTTGACTAGCCTCCCAAAAGAATCGAATAGAAAGGTAAAATCACCAGCTAATGGAAATTGGTACTTTTGAATTACTCTCATCTCTCGAAGATGAAGAGATTGATCAATTTTGTCATCATTTTAAGTTCTCCAATTTCAGGCAACTGAACCAAGTATCTTTTTCATGTTTCTGACTTACAGATATGTCTGGAGATGTTGTACTTTGCTAGCTACTCTGGTGATGCTGATAGCAGCATACTGCGAGAGACATGGGCTAGGCTCATTGATCAAGCTCTTACGAGGGGTGGGATTGCTGAAGCTTGTGCTGTACTGAAGAGGGTTGGTACCCATATGTATCCTGGAGATGGAGCTGTTTTACCATTTGATACTCTCTGTCTTCACCTTGAGAAGGCTGCACTGGTATGGGCTATTTCCCCTTTTGAGCTGCCCCTGCCCATTTCCATTCTGTTAGTTCCCTTGCATGTGCTTTCAACTAGTTCAATGCTTCATTTTGGAATTTAAACTCGATTGGATCTTTAATACTGTGAAGGAGCAAGTGGTTTCTGGTGCTGAATCTGTTGGAGATGAAGATATTCCTAGGGCTCTTTTAGCTGCTTGCAAGGGTGCAGTAGAGCCTGTATTAAATACTTATGACCAGCTGTTATCCAGTGGGGCAGTGTTGCCAACTCCGAATCTTAGATTGCGTCTCCTGCGTTCCGTACTGGCTTTACTTCGTGAATGGGCACTTTCTGTCTTCGCACAGGGAATGGGTACAAGTGTTACTGGAGCCTCTCTGATTCTCGGTGGAACTTTATCATTAGGACAGACTGCAGTTGTTAATCAAGGTGTTCGCGATAAAATAACAAGTGCAGCAAATCGGTTAGTTTCTCATCAGCGGTTACTAATATGTCTTTTCACTCATTTCAGCAGTATCTAGATAGGCTTTTCAACTCTTCTGTTATCTTCTTCATGTTATGGTTCTACCAATCTTGCTGGTTTGCTATATCTTAGAATTTATTAAATGCTTTACGGTGCACCAGTTTCGTTATTACATATGTTTATTTGTGCATATCTAAATCCATTGTTTTGTTTTCTCGGTTTAACCAGATACATGACAGAAGTGCGAAGATTACCTCTTCCACAAAATCAGACTGAAGCTGTCTTTCGAGGTTTTCGTGAACTTGAAGAATCATTGTTAAGTCCATTCCCTTTTGAACGGTTTTGATTTTTGTAATATCATATGCTTGTACAATATCCTGCCTTTTCTTTGTCCTTCACTGCATATTTGATTTGAACAATATCATTTTTTTCTCAAGAACTGTATTTTATTAGTTCTGATTTCAGCATTGCCCTGATACTGCTTCCTGTGACATGTGATAATACATCAATGACGGAATTGCCTTAGAATTGGAAAATGGTATTTTATCGATTTAAAGGTCGTTAGAAATATTAGACTTCTTATGAAATCTGAAAGTCAAGATATGAATATGTTAATTTTGCATTGGTGTATAAATACGTTCTGTACATGAACCTATTATGGTTAACATAGTAATTTGATTTTAAAATTGTATTAGTTTTCTGCATATGTTTGTTTATAATAATTAAATGAGATATAAACAATGCCACAAAACATTGTGATTTGTGTCCCTATTTCCTGCAACCATAAATACCTAAAGAAGAGTTGAAAATCGTCCAAGTCTTCAATGGATGTATTGGGATGAATATGTTCCAAGACAGTTTCACAAAAATTAGGAAAATAATAACACAGTTGGACACTCTATTATGGTAAAGGAGAAAAATGCTATTGTTGAATCTTGACATGATCACGATATTGTCTGCTTTCGGGCCAAGTCGGTGCGTTTTTTTTTTTTTTTTGAAAGGTCTCATATAATGGTATTCAACAAAGTAACTTGTTTTTAAAATCTAAAATCAATGTGGGACATCTACAAATCCAACAATCTCTTTCTCGAACTAAGTTCAACATAATCTATCATCTTATAAATAACTTTCCTTTTCTAAGCTTCTGTCCAAAAAATTATTCAAATAACATAATATGAGATGATTAAAGAAAAATGTCAGAAGGCTAACACTGGGAGATGAAAATGCCTTTCCCCAAGAGAAGTCAATCAAAATTCCCTTGGAGCTAAACATAGTGTAAGATGACATCAAATATATGACGCTTTAGGTAAATTATTTAATGATTTTGCAAAGAACTAAGGAGATTATGATGCAAATTATTAAAATATGATAGGATAAGGTATAGTGTATACCTTAGGAGTGCGATCGCAAATTATGATATCGAAGATTCAAAAACTAACCTTTTGTAGCATCAACAGGTGCATTTGAGAAGTCGACCACCTTAACACTTAACAGGTTTGGTTGAACACAACTAAAGGGACTTTGAAGCCTAGGAAATTCAACTTTTTTTCTACTTGTACCTAAAATATTAAAGAGAATTTGGTCCCAACTTTCTTCTTATAAAATTTGTGTGGTTCGAAACTCCGATCAATAATATATGTCCCTCAACTTTTCTCCACTTAAATACTAAACTTTTGTCCGTGACATAATACAGATTGGCACATCACTTGTGCTGCGCTGTTAGCAAATGAGTAAATCTTGCTGCATTACTTTATGTTGGTAAAGATGAAAGAATCGTTACTGCATATTCTGCAGATAACAACAACAGCAACAACACATCCCGTGTAATCTCACAAGTAGGGTCTAGGGAGGGAGGTGTGTACGCAGCCATGCCCCTACGTTGTGAAGGTAGAGAGACTGTTTCCAATACCCTCAGCTCAAGTCTGCATTTTCTGCAGATTTTTGCTACAATTCCAAGATGATGAAGTCACACTTGAAGTTTCTATCATTGCAACAGAGTAACTCGTACTGATATCATATGCATAACTCTTAACTGACAAACCAGGGTAAACAAGAGGAAACACAACCAGAAAATAAAAACAAACATCTCCCCACCTTTGCAAAGAAGTAAGTGAACCACGAAATACTACCTGAGAAGCTATCAAATATAGATCAACTCCACAGGCCACCACAAGCTCATACTAGCATAAACCTGCAATTTTTAAAGAAACAAGGAGACTTGAATTGTTAAGACTCGACATTAACTTAACACGGACTTAGTACAACTTACGTTATTGAGTTCAGTCACAACATGCTACATGGATCTCAGCAAGTTACAAGTTCTGTCCCAACTGAAGGTCTAAATCTATGGTGTAAGGTTTACATATATCTCTTTCAGCTATAAGTTCTTCCAGAGGACCAGGCTGCAAGTAACGATCTAAATCTACGATATTACATACAGATATCTCATGAACAGTCGAGAGTATCTACCATTGACAACAACACTACAGTCACTAAAGAAAAGTAACAAGGGTAAAAGGTTAGAGAGAATAAGAGAGTAGGGTAAGAGGATAGCAAAGAATGGATCCATGTCACTATTCAATGGTTAATCTCATCGGCCTTGATCCCATTATCAGTTACTTCAGCTTCATCTGCTACTTTCCCAATTGGGACCTCTTTCACCAAGAAAGCATCTCCAACATCTTTGTCAGCCACAGACACATCAGCATGAGCATCTTCTGCTTTTCCATCTTCAGTTGGGTCATCACTTTTCACAGCATCAACATCAGAAGTTTCATCTTTCTTCTCTGCAACACAATTTGTCATTTTGTCATCTTTCTCAACCTCAGCCTCTTTAGAAGGACCATCTTCTGCATTTTGGCCTTCACCCATTTTTTCAGCTTGGTTCTCCTTCATAACATCAACAACAGAAGAATGCATTTCATCTTTCTTCTCAGCAGCATGATCAGCCATTTCGACATCCTTCTCAACAACATCATCTTTGGAAGGACCATCTTCAGTTTGGCCTTGACTTGTCGGTTTAGCTTGGTTCTCCTTCACAACACCGACATCAGTTGAAGGCATTTCATCCTTATTTTCATCTTTTCCCTCGTCATGTTTCTGTTCGACCACCTTTTCAGCTTCCACAGCCGCAGCATCCTTTTCATGTTTTTCAGCTTCCACAGCCACAACATCCTTTTCATGTTTTTTAGCTTCCACAGCCGCATCATCCTTTTCCTGTTTTTCAGCTTCTGGCATGTCAACATCCTTTGCTGCCTCAGTTTCTTCCTGGTCTTCTATGTTTTTCACATCCTTCTTAGAAGCTGAAGATTTTCTGCTTCGCTTTGTTGGAGTCACACTTTTTGCTGCAAGTGGAGCTGTCTTTGCCTTTCCAGTGATCCTTGTGGATCTTCTTGGAGCTTCCCCACTTCCCCAGTCAAACTCAGTGATTGCCGGACCGCCAGGGTGTGACTTCAGGTACTGCTGCAACTGTTTCTTTGTAGTTATCTCCTCCCCTGTTGGTGCAGTAAATACGATCTCATTTTTCTTTGGCGTCCCTCCTTTCTTAGGCAGAAACTGAGAAACAAAAACAGAAAAAATGGACATTAGTTATTGAAAATATCTCCATTATTCTCCTTTTATATTCCTCGTCTTTTATTGGGCTGGCTGCTAAAATGGAGAGTAAATATGGAAAAAAAATAAAAACCAAAAACTAAGACAAGGAACTACTTGAGAGTTAAAAAAGGAAATCAATAGGCAAAGCTCCGAAGGAAAGGAAACTACTTCACAACATCAGAAGAAGATAATGATGAATTCTTGATAAGCAAATAATATATAACTTATGGCTCAGCTAATATCCACCATGTTCCAACTGTTTTTAGTACAGAATTTGGAACATGCACAATCCCACTACAGTTCAGTAAATAAATGAGTCAGAGTGCAACTGTTTCACATGAGTAGCTCTTCCTGATCAAATGGGGTTCTGAGGAGTTTCAAATCGTATTTATCAACTTAATCCCCAAACAAAGTAATTTTGCAGACTACTAGCACACACTATAGATATACAAGTGGTATACATTTAACAAAGAAACAACAACCCAGCCAAAAGCACCCTGAAATCAATAACACATTATTGTCTATGCATATAAAATGACAACACAGAGAATGAATCAGTTAAGAAAGTGTAAAATCAATAATTTTGTTTTCTTCTTTGAAATGGCAGTGTCTGAGTCAGCTACTGTGTAGCTCGGCTATTCCATCGGCAACTCTACCCATCAAAGCATAGGCGAACGTGAAGAAATTTGTTAGTATTTTATGTCTCAACTGGGATTTAAAACCTGTCTCTAAGGTTTGCACCCACTTTATTAATCACTAGGTCACACACTTGGGTGCAAACCAAAGCAATAACTTGGTACTACAATAAACACAAGCTTTACAAATGAGACAGCCCTGTCAAAACTGCTGGTCATAATGCCTTCTATGTGAATAGATGAGCAGTGAAATAAGCATTAAAGCGAGTAAATCTTTTTGCGAAAAGGGAAACTCGTAACTATTATTAGGAGGAAAGACTTATTTTGTGCCACAACCCAAGTAGAACTGACATTTCACTGAATCTAGTTAGTAAGATATTTCAATAAACAAGTAAATGAATAACAACACCACCCTACAACTGCATCATTTTAGCATCTGTAAAATCAAATTCAAAGAAAGTCACCAAGAGGATGCTACCCACACAGACAAATAAGATTCTCATAAAATGTAAAATAAATGGGTTGAACAATAAGTATATAGAAATAAGTGATGCTGTCATCATTAATGGGCAAGATAGAAGCTAAAGTATTGAATGAGAGAACGGAACAATTATTACAATATCAGAGTCTCAGATTCTGACAATGAATGTGAGGAGCCTTATTAAGAGAAATGCCTCCATACAAAGAAGGGAAATCATAGATGCCTTGTTCATTAGAAGAAAGATAGACCAATATGGAGTCAGAACGATCTGGGTTGTTATGGTCCCCTAAAATGGATCTAAGTTATGGGACGCTGCATGATACAACCTATGGTGTTGGTTCGTTAAGAGAGAACCTGCAATCTCTTGAGTTAAAGTACTCTAAAACTGGAATAATTTTCCACTTATCTTTTCACTGAATTCAAATTACTTTAAATAACATATTGGTAGATTATCCACCCACTTGATAGCAAGGAAATAACTTCGTACTATTATTGAAATTAGAAAGAGGAGGAATAACCTCCTTACAGCTTATAACTGCTACAAAGAAATAGGAAAACATAATCAATAGATAAGCTTAAGTAATCTACTTTCTGATTTGTTTAAAGTTTCCCTGCGTAAACCGTTAGCAGACTAAAAGGGTGCTAACATTACTACCCTCCTTCAAATTGCACTTGTCCTCAAGCACAATGTGGGAAGTACTAGTATTTCCTTCTTTTCCAGCAAATTCTTCCTCATTATCAATGGAATCAATCCAAAATAATTTCTTGCACTAATGGCTCGAAGTGAATAATTCGTCACATTTGAAATAGAGTCCCTTAAGTCATCTTTCATCCATTTCA